AAAGTCAGAATTCTGTTTTTTTCCCATACTATACTGAAATAAAATAAAAAAAAATCTGTTAACTTTTTTTTTCCCACTGGCCCTAATCCTCTGCCGTACTTCTGAGATGTTGGAAGGTTTGTAGAAATTTTCACTCTCTTGAAAAAAAAGCCTGTCAGGAAACACTGAGGGAACTGAGATGCTCAGTTTGTACCATTGAGAGCCAAAACTGTCCAGGCTGAGAGTAGAAGCCGCAGCACAGAGGACTTGGAGGATTTGGGATGTGGATGGGAGGAAGCTCTTTCTCCTCCTTCTCCTTCTCCTTCTTCACTGCTTCACGTCTCGTGATTTCCTCTTCTCTCTGAAAGTAGAACCGATCTGATCAGAACCGTCCTCCAAGGAACCGCAGCGATCAGGCTGACCGTTGGTTTTCCAGACCTTTATTCGGGATTTGATGCTCCTGAACCTGAAGGACCTCCTTGGCAGGTGGTGGAGCTCAAAGGTTTTGGACGACGTTGGAGCTCCTGCGTCGGGACCGGGAACCTCGACCACGTCGCCGCTGCCACACAGGATGAGCAACCTGTTCTCTCTCTGAAAGAGAAGCTTCCATCAGCAGAAACGTCGAGGCACGGCTGGGCAGGAGGAGACATCTGAGAAAAGACCTACGTGGGAGTGAGGAGACCACTCCAGCGCTCTGACGGGGCCGGGTACGCGGACAAAGCCGATGGGGCTGTACTTCTCCCCGACCGCGAAGAAGAAAATGGAGCAGTCTGAGCTCTGAACAGGAAGGAGGGGATGATGGTAAAACCAAGAGAAGTTCAGCAGCAAAAAGGACAAATATTACCTGCTCCATGAATCTGACTCATCTAGAAATGATATTCCTGAAGCTTTTTCCATATTTTATCAGTATAAACCTCTAATGTCAGAAGGTTTCGTCTCACAGACAAACACAGAGAGACATCTGACTGTTAGAGGGAGTAAAAAAGATGCTTTTAAATGAGTGGAATGAATGAAAGCTTTTAGGTGCATCTGTTAGTTTCCTCTGAGTCAGCACCGTCACCGTCAGAAGATATTTTCTAATCTTCATCTAAAACCTTTCTAATGCTCCATTGGACACTATCTCTCATTTAGTTCTATTCAGTTTATTTCTATAGCTCTGATTCTCATCATGTCACTTTCCAGTTCACCAGATCATCCAGTCAGATCTATTCAAAGTTTTCTATCT